CGGACAGAAAAACCCAGGTTAGCACAGTACCTGCACCTTGGACCAGAGAGGCTTCTCAACCCAAGATGGCTTCCAGTCCGAGGGAGGGTCCATCCCCGTCAGGAGAGCGTGGCAGAGGGAACTGTGGGCTCCAGAAGCCAGTGTGCGGGCAGGCACCTCCTCCTGGTCTACTCAGCAGGGAGGCGAGCCTACTGGGGAGGAGCCAGCAGTTCTTGCTTCTCCTGAGCTGTGCCCTGTGCCTCGGCAGAATAGGGATGGTCCGTCTAGGTGGACTTTGCAGGACACCTTCCCCCATGCGGCAGTCAGACCTGAGTCCCTCATCTCAGCGGCCAAGGCGCCCCAGGCTCACAGCTGCGGTGACACTCCAGGGTGGCATGTGGGTGCTGGGCATTGTGACCTCACACACAGAGGTGGTCACCCTGCCCTCACCTGGGCCTGCAATCTGCATAGGACAGTGGCCTGGTCACAGGGCCCGTCGTGGGGAGGTTGGGAAAAGAACACTCTGGCCTCCTCCATCATGTCGGCTAAGAAAGCAGAACTGAAGAAAGCAAACCTGGTAAAGGAGAAAGAGCTGGACCCTGGGGGGCCTCTGAGCTCCCATGAAGGGAGGAGGGGTGGGGGTGGGCACAGAGACCCCCTGATGAAAGCTGGGCTTCTCTTTCTCTGTCTGAGCATGAAGTGACCGCTTAGCCCGGAAGGAGGGTGGGACTGATTCCTGGCCTCAATCTGGGAAGGAAAGCAGCCTCTGCTGGCTCCCTCAGGGACAAGGACCCATAGTACCAACCCCACCCTACTCCTCCCGAGGGCATGACCCCACCCAGGCCTGTGCCAGGCCCACATCTCATGGGCATGTCTAAGGTGTACAATAACTTTATTATATAAACATAGTTATCTTCCTCACTTTACAGATGAGGAAATGGAGGCCAGAAAGACTCAACAGCTTGCCCAAGTTGGCATGGCCAGTAGGGAGGACAGCTGAGATTAGAACCTGAGTCTGCGCTCCTGAAAGAGTACTTATGTGGCTTCTTAACGTTCCCGTGAAATTCCTCTCTGCCCAGGCACCCCCAGCAGGGAGAGAGCCTACTGCTGACGCGGCAGGTGGTGCTCATGAGAGATGTGTAACAGCAGGACAAACTTGGAGTTGTCCTAAGACGGGGGCTGGGGGACATGTGGGCTTGGGCTCAAGCACAGTTGGGCAGGCAGGGCCGGGTGAGGGTCCTCCTGTCAGGGCCCGGGGGTAGCCACCCTGGTCCTGATGCCTGTATCCCAACTGCCTCTCTCCGCAGAGCAAGAACTACAAGGCAATTTGCCTGGAATTGAAGCCAGAGCCGATCAAAGTAAGAAGCTCTTTTGAGCCCGTGCCAGCACCCAGGCCTGAGAGCTGTGGGGAGCTGACCTGCAGTCAGGGGCCATTTGCTTTGCTGTGGCCAAGACCTGTCCCAGGTGCTGGGGGTACACAGAGACAGACAAGCTCTCTGCTCTCATAGAATGTCACACTAGTAACTAATCGGATAAATGCACACATCAGGAAACAAAACCAGTAGTGTTAGTGCCATGTAGAGAATTAAAACAGGGAGATCTGACGGGGAGGCTGCTATAAATCAGGGGTCAGGATCGGCCTCTCTCTGCGCTGAGAGCTGAAGGATGAGACTCTGGCCACTCAAGGACTAAGGAAGAGCACTGTAGGTCGAGGAAGCAGCTGTGCAAAGGTCCTGAGGCAGGAGTGAGCCTGGCTGTTCAGGGACAGAGCTGAGGCCCAGGGGAGGAGTGGAATGAGAGGAGCTCAGAGAGAATTGAAGGATGGAGGAAACTGCTGCACAGGTGGGGTCACCAGCTCCCCTCTGTCTACCCTGGCTGGGAGGGAGGAACAGAAACTCGGGGTGATCTCTCCTGCCTTATCTACTCCACACCTGCAATTTCCAATACCCTGTGTTTCTGGTTTTAATCAACAGACATATGAATACAAAAGAATTAAACCAGAAGGGCCATTTACCAAAACGGGAGGGACGAGGGAGCTAAAGGTAGGTGTTTGAACCCAGGCTGCGGGGGTGGGGCCAACCCAGTGAAGAGGGGCTGGGCAGCTAAACAACTTCCATGGGGGATAAACTGTGGCAGCGGGCCCTGTGACTTCATTCTCTTTAGTTCTTTTGGTTTGTTTGCTTTAACTCTTTATTGTGAAACTAGAGGCCCAGTACACGAAATCATGCACCAGTGGGTCCCTCGGCCTGGACAGCGGAATCAGGCTGAAACCGGCTCTCAAACATCCCCTGAGGGGTCCTGGATTGCAAGAGGGCACAGGCCAGGCCAAGGTACCCCAATGATGCACAATTGGGGCCGGGGAGGGACGCGGGAGATTGGCCAGCTAGAGAGGGACCGCAGGAGGGCTCCAGGGCATGTCCGGCCCATCTTGCTCAGTCCTGATTGGTTGGACCCCAATAGCAAGCTAACCTACCAGTTGGAACATCTGCCCCCTAGTGGCCAGTGCATGTCATAGAGAACGGTTGAGCGGCCTTAGCATTCATTAGCATATTATGCTTTGATTGGTTGAACGGACGACCAGATGACCAGACACTTAGCATATTAGGCTTTTATTATATAGGGTAATTTCAGCCTTAGAGAAAAGTTTCAAAAAATGACACAATGAATTCTAAGTATACCCTTTGCCCAGATTCCCCAAATGTTGCCATTTAATCATGGTTCTTTCCTCTATCTCATATATTTATATATTCACACACACACACACACACACACACACACACACACACACACACAATGAATATATATATTTCCTGAACTATTTGGGAGCATGTTTCTCTCAAATTTTGGTATAAATTTCCTAAAAACAAGAACACTCTCTTATATGGCCAGTAATATTATCAAATATCAAAACCAGGAAATTAACTTTGACACAGTATTCATCTACAGCCTTTATTCTAATTTCAGCAATGACCCCACTAATGTCTTTCATAACAAGAGAAAAAACAGCCTTTTGGTCTGGGACCCAATCTTGGATCACACATTGCATCCGGGCTGTGTGTCCCTTAGCCTCCTGTCACCTGGAACAGTTCTTCAACCTTTATCTCTTGGACACTGGCATATTTTAGGATTAGAGACCATTCATTTCGTAGAATGAGCCTTATTTGGGTTTGTTTGTACATTTTTGGCGGCCATATCCCAGAAGCGTCAAAGGCACATGATGTCTGGATGTCCCACTCTCTCCTGTTTTCTTTCCTTTTTAAATCATATTTTTACTGATTTCAGAGAGGAAGGGAGAGAGAGAAAAAGAGGTGTGGGGACAGAGAAACATCAATGATGAGAGAGAATCATTGACTGGCTGCCTCCTGCATGTCCCCTACTGGGGATCAAGTCCACAACTCCAGGCATGTGCCCTCACCAGGAATCGAACCGTGACCTCCTGTTTCATAGGTAGATGCTCAACCACTGAGCCACACTGGCCGGACTCTCCTATTTTCTTAGTAGCCTCCTTTCTCTCCTCCCTGATGGGAAGTCTCTCTGTCCTTCCTTATCCACGCCCCTGGATCTTTCCTTTCCTCCTTTGGCACTTGCCCTTCCATCCAAGACATTTCTTTACTCTTCCTCTTCCCAATTTTATTTCCTCAGAATGATCTCAGGGAGGTGAGAGAAGAGCTCAAGGAAAAGATGGAGGAGATAAAACAGGTAACAGGATGGGACTTTCCAGAACTTGAAGGTGAAGGGTAGCTTCCAGGAAAGTGCAGTGCCTGACTTTGAACAGCGAAGGAAATCACGAGTTGCACGGAGAAAGCACCTCAATAAACTCAGCCCAAATCCCCTAGAGCAGTGGTCGGCAAACTGTGGCCCCTTGAGTGTGGCTCTTCCACAAAATACTACGTGCGGGCGCACACATACAGTGCGATTGAAACTTCGTAGCCACCCTCCAGGGGCCAAAGAGCCGCATGTGGCTTGCATGCCGCAGTTTGCCAACCACGGCCCTAGAGCATTTAAGTGTCGGGCAGCTTAGGATATCTACTAGTATTTGTTTGATGCTTCAACCCAATGATTGAGTGATAAGGACGCCTAAGGTGTCTTAGGGATAAGGTTGGGGAGATATAACTTCAGTGACAGAGAGGGGCTGATTGGAATTTGGGGGCAGTCAGGACCAGTTCAGTTTTTCTTACTCGCCTCCCCTTAGCAAGCTGCAGAGCAAGGCCTCTTCTCTTGTTTCCTTGATGGGACAACCTAGAGCAGGGTGGGCAACCTTTTTGTGAGTGCATGCCAAAACCAGAAGAATCTCTGACTCAAAATTCTTCTGCATGCCAACCCTAATTTTTTGAGAACATGTTACGCCTACTTGATATTTCTTAAGGTGTACGTAAGTGAAGAACCTTGAAGAAAGAATAAAATTCATTTGAGTGACAAAAACACAGCATATGATGATGAAAAATACATTTATTTTTTAATGTATACATGTACACTGATAGTCCAACAGAAAACTTTATGACTCCGTTTGATATTACCAGTGGGACTTTTGCTGCTGCATCACTGATGACAGAGATTTTACACCAGGTTTATATTTTGTAACCTTTAGAGATACGCACGAGCTACTACTTTCATCTGTCAGGCTACTCCTATTACGAGACTTAACAAAATTCATCACTGGGAACAAAGATTCACAAGTGTATGTGGATGAAACCAAAACACTGGTCAGATCTAGGAAGGCAGGGAGAGTTAAGGCAGAGGCATAGAAATTGCTCTTCCCTTCTCTCGTTAATCCATGTTTATGGTCTTTAAGATAACTTGTTGTGTAAAATTATTTATTTATCTAAGATGCACCTACACTGAATTTATCTGAAAAATAAAAAAGTCGATATTAAGAAAAAAATTGTAAATGGAAGATTATAAGAGGGTTTCGCGTGCCAGCAAAAGTTACTGGCATGCCATGTTTGGCACGCGTGCCAGGGGTTGCCCACCCCTGACCTAGAGCATCCTTACAAAGAAGGGGAATGCTCACGTGAGAAGGTGTCCCTGCAGCTGTGGTCTGAGCTCCACATGGAAGCCTGGCAGTGGCCAGATCTAAGTTGTGCCAAGGCTGGTGGTGGTGGTGACTAGATTCTAACTGCACCCTAGTCCCTTCCCTGACCCCTTGAGAAGTGGCTTTAATGGGCCATGATTAGTCCATTCCTTGAGCTTCATCCAGCTCACTCCAGCAGAGCAGCTGCTGCCCTTTGCTTAAAATGACTCCATGGTCAGTAATATAGGCTCTTTGCCTTTCTTCCTTGTTAGATAAAATGTGTAATGGACAAGGATTTTGATAAACTCCAAGAATTTGTGGAGATTATGAAGGTAAGCATTTTCATGGGCCAGTACCATCCTAGGATTTGTGGAAGGCAATACCAGGCCCTGCCCCAAATTCTATTGCAAGGAAGAATTTACAGGTGAGTAACAAGCTAAATGATAACTGTATGTCACTTTATTAAGAGTTGAGAGATTTGAGTAATGAAGGTGGGCTGGAGTAACCAGAAAAGTCCTTACAGAAAAAGCGAGTCTCCCGGTGCTCTGCACGCTGCTTTGAAGGCTTAATGCAAATCTAACCAAAAGCCCAATAAGATTATTTTTGAACTCAATAGTCACTAAGAGGATCATCTAAATACTAGAACCGTGGTTCTCAGACTTTGGTGTGTTGCAGAGTCACCAACACACGTATACACAGCAAAGCCCAAGTCCTATTTCGATGGGACCTGCAACTACCCCTACTGGATATTAAAACTCATAATAAAGCCACAATATCAAGTTACGGTGGAACAGCCCAAGGATAACCAGCACAGAGAACCCTGTAAGAGCCTCTCTGCCTGGGTACAATGAGGATACTTGTGAGGATTCCTAAAATTCACATGCCCAGGCCCAGATTAACAGGCTGGGGCAGAGTTGTGATGCTCTCCCCGGATGAGAGCCCGGTCCTCAGCACCTCTGCAGTAGCTACTCACCTGGCTGCACTCACCTGAACTGTGGCTCTGACCTGCCCCCTTATACCCAGGCTGCACCCCATAACGAAATTGCATCAGAACGTCTTGGGATGAGGACCAGGGTCAGTAGTTTTTAAAGTCCCCATATGATTCCATTGTACACAAGTTTAGGAACCTTCCTCCCAGCTCTATAAAATTTAAAATACAATGAAGATTTTTTTAAAAGGTCAGCGAGAAGGAAAGGATTATGTAATGTTAACATTGCTTGACTATATGAAGAAAAGACTTAATTCACTTAACTCTGTAAACTGAAATAGTCTACAACATGAATTTAAATATTAAAAAACAATAAGGAGAAAGGGTGTATAAGCATTTAACCAGATGTTCTAAGTATAAATACAATGTGAGAAATCACAAAAGAAATAATGATATATTTAACAATATTTTAAAAAGTTGAAATTATCACAGAAAAGCACCATAAACAATTAAAAAGCCAACAACAGTTTTGGAGAAACAATTTTTTCCCACAAATATGCTAGGAATAGACAACAGGTTTTTTATCTGCAACATATAAAGTTCACACAAATCAGTAAGAACCAAAAAGAAAAGTGGGAAAAGGGCAGGAACAGATAGTCCACAGACGGGAATGTAACTAAAAAGCAATAAGCACTAAAAGAGTTTACCTCATGGGTAATCAAATAAATGTAAATGAAAACAATGATCAGATTGTCACATTCAAACAAGATAAGTTTTAATTTATGATAATTATAGATAAGATAGGAATGCTTTTGTACTGCTGCTCAGAGTTCAAGTTTGTACAAAACTGAAAAGGAATTAGACTATAAGTGCTCAAAGCACTTAAACCCCTTGACTTATCTGAGAATAACCAGAAAAATTTGGAAATAACCACAATTTTAACAGTAGAAAAATAGGCAAGTAAGTTATGGTATATTCATATATGGAAAATTAGGAACTGTTAGAGACAGTGCTTAGGAAGAATGCTTGTAATGAGAAGTAAAATAGGCAAGATACAAGGCAGGTGTACAGGCTGAGCTCACCCAAACGGGAAAAAACGGGTGAACGAACATATAGAAAAGGGCCTGGAAAGAAATATGCCAAAAGGGTTATTGTTATTTCTAAGTGACGACAATTTTTTCTTTTATATTCCTCTGTGTTATCCAGATTTTCTGCAAAGGGCATGTGTTATTTCTTTGGTAAAATGCAAGCACAATGAGTGTTTTGTTAGTGGGTAGGACTGGGCATGAAAGGCACACAAAGGAGGCTATTTCGGGCGTGGGCACAGCTTGCGCACAGCATGGAGGCAGGAGGAACATGAAGCGTATCCCAGTCAGTGGGGAGATCAGTCATAAAAGTGGGATCATTTGGGGAAACTGTGAGAAATAAAATGGAAGGGGCACCGAGGAAGTGGGTAATGAAGGCTTTTGAAAGACAGGCAGACCGGCTGGGACTTGGCTGTGTAAGCAGGAAGGGGCCTCTGGAGATTCTTAATCAAAGAACATGCTACGAGCAGCATTTCAGAAAGCTGAGCCGGCAGCTGTTTGCAAGGTGGCCTGGGGACCCTGGGGAGCAGGGAGGGGTCATCTGGAGCAAAAATATCAGACAGGAAGCCACATCCGGCTCCAAGGTGAAGAAAGCTGGACCAGGTGTAGAAAGGAAAGGGTGAATCCAAAAGATGCATCGAAGGAAAACCAACATTCTTGGTGACTGATTCAATATAGGAAATGAAAGAGGAAAGCATCCATGATGACATCAAAATTTTAATCTGTGTAATTAGAAGAAAGTGGTGACAATGACAGGGGTGGTTATTTTCCTCAAAACCAATTATTTTTCATTTACACTTTAGGATGTTTGATCATAACAAATATTATGTCAATAACAAATATGTCTCTGATAACATCTGCCATCTCAGAATTTCTTTTGTGACCACTATTCCTATCTAGTTGTCCCAGGTCAATTTATCTAAACTTTGCTGAGATTTTACTATCCTTTCAGTTCTTAGTAAATAATGATTGTGAGGTGCCATTTGAGCTACTATCAGTTTTGTGTTTTTTGACCATTTCTATCAGGAATTGGGTAAAAGATGGAGCAAACAAAAATGAACTGTCTGGGTGTGTGGCAGGGCCAAATGTTGGGGTCAATGTGTCTTTGAGGGGGGGGCGGGTCACACGATTTGTTTTGTTGGTTCTGTCATTTTATAGGCATGAACCAAGGCAGGTAATGGTTTCATCTAAGTGTGAATTCAGATAAATCACTTCCTGGCCTCTGACTCACCTGGAGACTTTGGACAAGCCCCTGATGACTCTACCTATTGCTCAGCCTAATCATGGAATGGAGGAGGGGGAAAAAGGGAGGCAGCCCATGTCAGCTTCACCCCAGAAGCCCCCTCACCCAAGGCTGGTGAGATTCTGAGGAAGTATGATGCCGAGGTGTGATCTCTGAGTGATTTTCAGAGAGGCAGGAGGAGAGGACTTCAAAAGCCCTTCAAGATGTAGGATCTAGCTTTGAATTCTCTCTTGAAGGAAATGCAGAAGGATATGGATGAGAAGATGGATGTTTTAATAAATATACAGAAAAACAGCAAGCTGTAAGTATAACCTGCACCCATATCTCCTCGTTTCTAAAGAATCTCCCCCTTCATGTTGCTAAATGCCCTGTCTTCAGACCCTTCGAGGAGCTGTCTTGCTTTCTGTGGCCCCAACGGCTAGGAGTCAAGGCTTTCCACGGCCACCCGTGCTATGGGTATCTCCTTGTCATGTTGGAATTTGTCTCCCCAACTCTGCTCCTCCCTGACTCCCCAGTCCCCTTAGAAGAGGACCAAAGGAGCATCAGGAACTCAGGCAGATAGGAAAGCCTGATGCAGACTCACAGCACCGGCTCAAGAAACTGGAGGGAGTTGAAGGAGCATCGCTTTCTATTCACAAGAAGAATATGGCACTACAGAAACTCAAAAAGGACCCACTGGACTCCCTTCATCAACGTGGGACCTGCTATGTGAGTGACGCTTGCCACCCCCCACTGCTGGGAGCTGTACCCTGGGCTCCTGCTGCTGCCTCCCCTCCCCTTGGGCCCTCCTGACTCTGGAACCTTTGGCCTTAAGGATTGCACCCCTCTGCGGTCCCGGGAAGGCCCTGGAGCCTGAAGTCCTCTCTGGGGTCTTGCCCTATAGGTCTGGGGAGAGTCCTAAGTCATGACCAAGTAGGTAGGACTCAACCCTGGATGTGTCTGCCCCAAGTGCCACTGTATTGTTCTGTCCTTTCCTATAGCAAAACTTGATGAGGTGCCCAGCAGTCTGGTCATCTTGGACCAGGGAAAAATGATCTTTCTTGTGCTGTTTCTGTCCTCTACAGGAGAAATGTATGTTGTGTGCCCTAAAGAACAACCACAATCAGGGGTAGGTAGATCCATACGAGATGTGCCTGGTCTCAGTTGGGTGCCCCCTCATCCCTAAGGCAGAGGCTCAGGCTGCATTTGCATCAGACCTTACCTGTGCCCACGCAGGCTCTGCCCCCACCACATCCACTCAGTCTTAGAGAACGTGGCACCAGGAAGGAGGATGGGTAGCCTAGCCTGGAGGCGGCTGCCTGGAGGCTCCCATAGAGGGGAGGGTGCTCGCCAGCTGCTGACCTGATCTTGCCTCAGGTTCCCGCCTTTCTCCCCGTCTAGCAGGAGACTTCCACACCAGGGCTGGGCACCCTCCTCATCCTTGGCATCTGGAGCTGCATTCTGATGTACCTGTGCTTCAACCTCTACATGACCGAGGAAATGCTTCCAACTTAGTGCTGCCATGGAACCCACCAGAGCTCCAGTTCCTCCTCCCCCAACTCCTTGAGCTGCACAGTAGAGGCTTGTTGCCCCTTCCATACCACCCTGCCCCAGGCCTCCCGCCATCCGGATTAAAATCTTCATTGAAAGCCAAAGGGGGTGTCACCAAACTCGAGTATGCAGACTATCACTTCCTTTGTTCTCCAGTCCCTCTTCCTGCTTCCTGGTAGATTAGTGGGAAGTTCTGTTTTGGTCATCCTTGGGGTCATCCTCCCTCCCTACTGTCTCCCTTTGCTCCACCTTATTCTGCAAAGGCCCCAGGTCAGAAGAGAGGAGAGGCCCTAGAGATATCAGACACCTTCCTGTGTAGTCACAGGAGACACCCCTACTATCCTATCCAATCTCTCCCTCCATCTTTGTGGCTCTTGCATTGTATGTGTGTGTTGGGGGAAACCTGAGAGGTGAGGTACCGTGGGGAACCCCCAGGCACAGAGTCTAGTGTGCAGGAGGACTCAGGACCTCGTGCACAGTGGTCACCTTGGGCGCTGAGGATCTACCCTCCTTGTCCTCTAGCAGATTTCCTCCTGTCTCCACAGAAAGGACACACATCCATCCCTTCAGAGGCCTTAGGTCATTGCAAAGGTGGGGATGAGCCAGTGACCTCCCCAGCTACACTTTGTCCTGCCCCAAATCCTCCACCTCGGGGAAGATGAGGCTTAGCTGCTAGCTGAAAGTGAGAGCAAAGAAAGACACAGAGAAAACAGGATTTCATGAGAGTTCATATTTTATTTAACACCAGCTCTTGCCTGTTTCATCTCCTTGCCAAGTTGGCTGCTTCGACTTTTAGACAGTCTAGTAAATAACTGGTTGTTGCTACATAGTAATGAGCAGTGTATTGGGTGCTTTAAATCAGCCGTCGCCAACCTTTTGGACCTCATGGGCCACCAGTGGTCTGTGGACCACAAGTGGGCGACGCTGCTTGGGGCAGGAATGGGAAAGGAGAAGGCCGGGTTTAGCCCTGTGTCGTTTCCCTGCCGTGGTAGCAGATTACCACACAGTCAGTGCCTGGAGTCAACACAAAGTGGGTCTCTGGGCCGAAACCCAGGCAGTGGCCACCTGTGTTCCTTCGGAAGGCTCTTGGGGAGAATGTTTCTTGCCGTTTCAGCTTCCAGAGGCGGCCTGCATCCCCTCTCACAGCCTCTTCCATCTTCAAAACCAGCAATGGCCAGTCCAGTCTTTCTCATTCTGCATCACTCTGATCCTGGTTCTTCCTCTGCCTCTTGTGCCCACTTTTAAGGACCCCTGTGACCATGTTGGGCCCACCTCGAAATGCCGGATAGTCTCCTTATGTTAAGATCAGTTGATGAATAAACTTCTTTCCCTTTGCTGTGTAACATAACATATTCACAGGCTCTAAAACATGGGCATCTTTAGGGGTTGTTATTCTGCCTATTGCAGGGGACTCCCCAGATGCTGTCCTTTGGCTACCAAACCCCCAAACATTTGGGAACACTTCATTGTTCAGTTCTATGCTGTGGTGGTTTTTAAATAGGCCCACAAGTTCTCTGATACCCTTTCAAGAAGAGACTGAATCCTCTCTCGTTGAGTGAGAGCTAGACATAGTGATTGCCTCTAAAGAATAGAATATGGCAGAGATGATGCTGTGTGGCTTCCAAGACTATGTCATAAAAGACATGTGACATCTGTCTCGCTCTCAGACACTCATTCCAAAAGGAAATCTGATTGGGCAGGTTGGGTTGGATATCCACCTTGGTCTGATCAACTGGGTTCTGTGTCACAAAGAAGTGGGGGCATGTAGGTTGGGGCAACCCCCAGGAGGCTCGGTACACAGGATAGGAATAGCATCTTGGGCAGAAGAGACAAGATGAAGTATAATTCCATTCTAGATGAGGTGACATTGAGACCTACAGAAAAAGCACC